CCGCTGACGAGTTCTCTCGAGAGAACCACACCGCCTGCGGGTTCACAACGGCCCCTCCCCTTTAACGAGAAAAACGAAATAGTGTTCTAGGAATTCCATAGAAGAAAGGTAAAAAAAAAATCACTGCTGCGCGTGTTGAGTTGACGCGCTCGCTGCCCTCTGTCGACTGGAGCCCTGGCGTGTCCCTCTGTGCTTCCCTCTCGCCCCTGCCTCCCCGCGGCCATGCGCGTCCTCCCGCCGTCCCTCCCCCTCCCATTGTTCCCCCTCTCTCCCCACACTTCGCCGTGCGTCCCTACCCGATCCGTCAACATACCTTACCGTCTCCGCCGTTAAGGTGGCTACTATTAAAAAGCTTCTGAAAGCTCTCAACCTTAAGTTGATTATACTCAGTGTTGTTATGATCATTCCTTAGTTTTCTGACATGAATCACACATTTGGCCATGGCAAACGTTAAAAACACCTTTTTCTTTAAAGAAATGCCCAATGACAATCTTATTATCCAACAAATTTGCAATTAAAGCCAACCAGTACACAATACAGAACACGTGCCTACTCGTATGAATGCGAATAACAATGTGATATCATGTCGATTTCTCCTACATGTTAACCCTCGCCGGCACAGGCCATTTTGACTCTGGTTGGCTGAGTTTTTCACGTTTGCCCCAAGGTCACTCAATCATCAAAGCAATATTTCAATTTTTCAGCATAGGAACTTTGAGAATGTTTATTTTTGTTTTCTTGACTTATGTCTTGGGGGGGGGGGCCAAAAGATAGTATGGCCCCCCCTTTGACCGTCTTGGGGGGGGGGCCATGGCCCCGTTGGCCCCCCCTTGGATCCGCCCCTGACTTGGACAGTCCTTCTGAGGGCCTCCGCCGGCCTCAAGGGCCCATACCGGCCTCTAAGGGTCCCATCGGTGTCCAAGGGCCCGATAGTCTTTTAGAGCCCATTTCAATCATCCAATGTGACAGGTCTATGAAAACCTACACGGATCTTTGAACACGGATCTTCAAAGATTTTTTTTTTTTAAGTTGCTCACCTCTTATAGCCCAGCCGAGCTCTTGAGGCAGCACAGGGCTCTTGTAGACCCAAAACCGTTATCTGAGGGGCCACGTGTGCCCCTGAACGGGACTGCGGGGTCGGTGTTGGAGTCGGTCGGAGTCGACAGCTCTGACCGGAATCGGAGTCGATTTTGGTACATGGGGTCGGAATCGAGTTGAAGACACCGAAAAATCCACCACAGAAACTATGCATACCAGAAATGGATTTTTTTTTAGATTGGCGAGCCGATTGCGTGGATAGTTTTCAAGTTCTTCTGGATGATCGGGAGCACCTGCACAGGGGCCCGTTCGAGGGAGGGGTGTCCCACAGACCCACTGGCCTCCGGCCTCCCCATTAAACGGGTCTGTCCTGCTAAAACTGACGTAACAGGTAGGGGAGAGTGGGCCAAAGCGGCCACCCGGGGCAAAGCGGCCACCCATCGTTTTAGCCCTTCATAGCTGGCGTCAGTTCCAATTTATGGTTTCCAATTATACTTCTCTTCACGGTCGTTCGAATGAGCCAGACCGGGGTTTCAGGCCCATCACCATTGTTCTGTGAAACACGGAAACGCATTTCTTGCCAGGTTACCAACTATGTTTACAATTTTTAAATGTTATGTTATTCCATAACCGTTTGGAATTTTTATAAGCGTTCTTGTCCATTCATTGCATGGTTATCGTACATGTATTCTACCAATTTTAATGTTTTTTTTTTACCCCACTAATAGCTAAGCTGGAATATTTTTGTCTCGGACGGTATGCGCGGGGCAAAGTGGCCACCCCCGAATTGGCCATAAGTTGTTTCCATCTGGATAAAAAAACATAATTTATGTTCAAATGTGTCGTCATGCATTCATCTTGGCCACTTTTCAGTTGCATGAGTTACCAAATAATGCAATTAAATGTTTTTTTTTCATGAAAATCCTTTCTTTGTTTACCTACAGGTGGAAGATGATAAAGTAAACATCCATCCTCGCTTAACCTTGTCACCATCAAATACCCTAGTCGTAAACGAGGCAACTATTTTGTTTCTCATATTGGGACTTGGGAAGACGCCGGTGGCCACTTTGCCCCAGGGTATGGGGCAAAGTGGCCAATGTGCATAGGTTTAAAGTTTTGTCAATATCTTTCATATGTGAACGCCTTTGGAAATAAAACGCAGTAGAAATAAAAGGCAACTTAATAGGGATCACATTGTTATTTTTTTTTTTGTCCCATACCTATTGAATTGTCCACCATGTGAAACATAGTGGAACAGGTATGCAGGAGTGCCCTTCCATGCCCGTGTGACCTGGCTACGTTAAGTACCATAGAACTTCATTCAAGGAGGGGAATTCAGGCACATTAGGTCACATCACTCCCCGCTCTTTTTTCTAGCTATGGACAGCCCGCCACCACAGGTATTAGTAAAAAGGTTACCCCTGGGGACCCAGCAGACAGATAGCATGGCTAGTGACGTCCGCTGAGTACCCAGGGCTGACAATGGTTAGGTAGGATAAGGACAAAAAGAGACGAAATATGAAAAAGCAAACAATGTATGCATAAACAAAACAAAAGAAAAAAACAGCAACAAGAGCTGTTTTTTATAGAGCTGTTATAGAAAGAATCTTTCCAAGTTTAAAAATCAAGCGTTGGCATCGTGAGAAGCGTTAGGGTGGCCGCTTTGCCCCACGCTCCCCTAATGGGTAAAGCGTTCATGTAAGTAGGTATAATATTATTTAGTGGCCGAGAGCCGTGAAGGATGCACGGCTAAATCGTGTTCCCGGCTGTGGCGGGAAGCGGTCACGCGTCGGCGCGCGAGCAGAGCAGAGCAGAGCGCTGGGCAGAGGGTGTGTGTGTGGAGCGCGGCCGGAGGCGCGGCAGGTTCATCTAATATCTGCATCGCCACAGTCTACTTCCCACCAGGCTCGTGTGCAGAGCTGCGAGTGAAATATGAGGAGCACCTTCAGTTCGCCATTGATGAGCTCCGTACCCTGTATGACTGCCCTCGATTTATCATCTGCGGTGATTTCAACAGCTTTCCAGTTGAGTCCCTCTGCCGGCTCAATGGTTTGCATCAAATTGTAACAGCCCCCACGCACGGGGACTCAGTTCTGGACCTCATCCTGACCGATCTGGGTGACTATTATCACGAGCCTGTGATGCTGTCGCCCCTCGGGCGCTCCAAGCACGTCATCGTGCACGCTCGACCGCGCACCATCCAGCCGACACCGAGGGAACGAATGACCGTGCGAATGCTGCCAGACTCGGGAGTTAGAGCATTCGGCAGGTGGATCACAGCACATGACTGGACCCCCGTATATGAGGCGTATTCCCCCGATGAACAGGTGGCGGTGCTGCAGTCAACGCTCTCCACTGCTCTAGACCGGTTTCTGCCTACCAAGACATTGCCAGTGCGACATCGAGGGAAGCCTCACATCACCGCCACCGTCCGACACGCCATTGCCCAGAAGCACAGAGTTTTCCGACTCGAGGGCATGTCCGACCGGTGGCGACATCTACGAAATAAGGCCACTCATCTGTGCCGCAAAGCCAAGGCGGAATTCTACGACAGGAAAATACGAGGAATGAGGACAGCAAAGCCGGCTACTTGGTACCGTCAAATCAAGAGTCTGACCGGCCGAGTAAAGAACGAACAGCTAAACTTCGCTGAGTATGAGAATGGTGGGGCGCTGGCGGAAGCGGTCAACCAGCACTTCGCATCTATCTCATCCCAGCTGCCGGCACTCAACCTGGAGGAATTCCCTGCCTACCTACCGGCGGACGCACCCCCACCGGTCATCCGACGAGCTGACGTCCAGAGGGAACTGAGCAGCATCCGCTCCAACATCTCCACCACACCGAATGAGCTACCAGCACGGCTGGTCAAGGAGTTTGCCTTCGAATTATCGCAGCCACTCACTCACATCTTCAACTCCTCGCTATCCTCCGGAAAATTTCCGTCTGCTTGGAAGCTATCCTTCATCACCCCCATTCCCAAGGTCAACCCTCCAACCTCTTTCAACGATCTTAGACCCATTTCACTCACCCCGCTCTTCTCCAAAATCTTTGAAGGATTTTTGACAACCTGGATCATGGCTGACATTACCCCATCACTTGACCCACACCAGTTCGGAAACAGGCCAGGCTACTCTACGGTACATTACCTGATCTCGCTATATGACTTCCTGGCTAAGAACACAGACAGCTCTTCAAACGCTGCGGCCATCCTGGCGATCGATTTTTCCAAGGCCTTCGACCTGGTTAGCCATGATGTCGTGCTCAGGAAACTACTGGACCAGCAAGTTCGCCCCTCCATCGTGCCTACAGTAGCCAGCTTCCTCAACGAGCGGAAACAGGTCGTTCGACTTGGTGGCTCGAATCCTGTCTCATCAGAGCTCACTACCACGTGTGGAACGCCCCAAGGGACAAAAATCGCCCCGATTGCATTTTTGGCTCATATAAATGACTGCGCAGTTACCGAAGATCATCGATGGAAGTATGTGGACGACCTCAGTATCGGCATCCTGTCTCCTGCAAGAGATGCAAACATTGTCCTTCAGAAAGCCCAGACGGCCGCATCCACTCTGGAAACATGGTCAGAGAACAATCTCATGAAGATCAACGGAAAAAAGTGTCATATACTCATCTGCAACTTCTCTCACAACACGGATATGGACGGCGCAGTAATCATTAACAACGAACCAGTACCTGTCGTCTCTACCATGAAACTTCTCGGAGTCCATATTACTTCTGACTTAAAGTGGACGGCAAATACAAATCATATCACAAAAAACGCCTCTCGCAGGCTGTTCATGCTCACAGTCCTCCGTCAGTTCCATGCAGATCTGAGCGATATCCGCGCCGTCTACATCAGCTTCATTCGTCCATGTCTGGAATACTGCTCTCAACTGTGGCACACGGGACTGACACAGCAACAAGCACAAGCAATCGAGCAAGTCCAGAAAAGAGCTTGCAAAATCATGATAGGATACGAAAACTACACCGACTACGCCTCTGCCTGCCAGCTCCTCAACCTCGAGACTCTGAGTGAGCGTCGCGATGCTGTCCTCTGCAAGCTGGCGGCCGACATCCTCGCCAACCCCGCCCACCCACTGTACCCGGGCGAGCAGCTGGCAAATGTGAGGCGCCCTCTGCGCCGGCAGCGAAAGTTTGTCGTACCGCGGGCCAAAACTGAGCGGTATAAAAAGTCCACTGTGCCTGTACTCATAGATCTAATGAACAGGATGTGATCCCCACGTAGATATGTTCGGAGCTCTTTTGAAATGCACTGTGTTTTTAATTTTTGTGATGCTTCTCACTTCATGTGGTGCCACCATTGCACAGCTCATGTACGGCCTTTTTACCAGTCGTTGACTGTCACGTGGTCAAATAAACCTTTATGTATGTATGTATGTAAATCAAGATGGACAAGTATCTCAAGCCCCCAGAACTCAACATTGATCCCAAATCGCCATCTGCTGAAGATGAGTGGGATATGTGGATTACAAAGTTTGGGGATTTCTTCAACTCCATCGATCCGGCCCTAAATCCCAACAAGCTCACGCTTCTTCGGGCTCACATGTCATGTGCATGCTATAAGCTCATGCTCATGTGCTCATGCTCATGTGCATGCCCCAAAAGCTCAGTAGATTAAGCGTGGCTTTAAATAAGAGAGCCTCTAAAAGAAAAATATAGGTGAGAAGGAACTTATGGGACACCCTGTATGTGTGCTGACCGGCTCCAAGTCCAACGCGCCGCCGGCCGGCCACCGCCGGCCGGCTCGGCAGTTCGCGGCGAAACGACGACGGCGCGGCTCCGCCGGCGCAACGGCGCCGGCGTCGTACGATTCGATTGACGTGCATTGTATGACGAATAATCAAGAAATATACATTCATTAAAGAACTCTTTTGGTCCTCCGGTTAATGAAACGATACGATCAGATACGCAATTCTTAGTGAACTGGACGATTACACGAACACTTTGGTCTGCCGTGCCGGATCAGAGTGAACGACGACGAAACACACGAACACTCGCCATTACCTATAAGTCAAAGGGGGAAAATCAACCCCCTGTTTTTCCACTAAAACGCGTCGGAATGGCCCCATATACCATACATGACTTCATATACGGTCAACCTTCACTACCTTGAGGCCTGTTCTGCAATTGGGCAGCTGTAAGGTCATTTGACGTCATCAAAGGTCACCATTTTTTGCCAATGACTCCGTACAGGAACGAGATACAGCCACGCGGATGGTCTCATTGTGTTCAGCTCGTCAAGGCACATCGAATGATATACATGATGACCTCGAGGTCACGTGACCTGAGGTCAATCTTTGACCTTGACCTTTCGAGGTCTACATATATGATTCGATGCGAATTGACGAGAGGATGAAGATGTTGCCCTTAGTTTGCTCCTAGCTTGGCTAATTCGAAAGTTATTTGAGAAAACTTCAGATCTAGCGCCGCAATTTTGACTTTTTTTACCCCTGTCATAGGCGGCGGAACGGGGAGGGCATCGGGGCACCGTGCCCCCTTCGAATTTGGCATTTTAACATTAGCCCTATGGGCGTTGCATGGAAAGAAGGGGACCAAAAGTCGGCAGTGCCCCCCCCCTTTAACCCTCGCCCGTACATGCCATTTTCCCATCCTAGAATGCACATGGGGGGGGGTGCCACCCCCCCCCTGCGCCATTTCGTTCCTGTTGGAGATAGAGCTTTGCGGTAAAGACCAAAAAGATTCTTTGGCAAGAGACGAATCCAATGATACCCAGTTTTACCTTCTCAGGTCAGTCATTGACCTTCCAGGTCAGGTCAAACTAAAAAATGTTGCTGTTTTGGGCCACCGCTGGATATCAAGTGCGCTGCTTATCATATACCGATGACTATGCCGTTTTCTGGCGCCAAGCCAGCTATAACCTCTTCGTCACACTACCCGACCAGACTTTTGCTGTTGAGGTCATTTCAGGTCAAGTTAGGTCAAGGTCAATGATATGTGTTTGTATGTCTGTGTGTGTCTGTGTGTGTATACTGATGTTTGCACCGAGTGTTTATTTGTCCATGTTACATGAAATCATGATCTGAGAAGCTCTTACCAAAAATGCAGTCAAAAAACTTCACGAAAAGTAAATTTAGCTTGCCTAAAACGCAATTATTTTAGATGACCTAGGTTGACCTTGACCCTGACTTTGACATATGTACATCGTCGAACAACATGTTCCATGATAGATTGGAGGTAAGAATGGCAAAAAAGGCCGAAATCAAGGTGTCAAAAGCTCACAAGGCCCATAGCCAACGCAAGATGTTGAGAATTGGTCATTTGGGTCATGACATGACCTGAAAAACAAGGTCATATCTCCAAAAACAAAAACCACAGAAGCTTGAAATTTGTAGTGGACATCAAAAAAGGATAGAGGAGCAGCTATACGAAAAATCAGCCTTCTAGCTCTTAAAATGTTGAGTGCAGAGCAGAAAAACTACCTGGGGGGTGGCAACCCCCCCCCCCCATATGCGGGCGAGGGTTAATTGAGGGTGTTCCGCCGCTACTGCCCATGCCGACGACCACAAGCCGCTTCTGATGGCCCCACATCTTCCTTTGAGGGCATGCGGGGGGGGGGGGCTATATTTGCCCTTAACCCGGTAGGCGGTGGGCCTCCCAGCCACCTTCCGCGCGGTGGGGGGGGGGGGGCATTTTTTGCCCCCCTCGTATCTCCGAAACTACTGGACGGATCCGGAAAATTCAAACGGCGTTCGATAGCCCTGTCAAATTTGTAGAGGCAAACCAAACTTCATTGACCTCAGGGTCACCGATGACGTCACAGGTCAGGTCAAAGATAAATTGTTTCACCATTCACGGGGCTTCTAGGGAAAGCGCTATAACACCGAGTAAAACGCATTTTGTCGAAAATCAGCGATAAGGCGTCAGTTGTCTAGTACATATGTTGCTATTAGACATAGACCCGGGAACAGGGGGGGGGGGGGCAGCGGGGGCGCTTGCCCCCCCAACTTGGGAGCCGAGGGGGCGGCGCCCCCTCAACATTGAGGTAGCGAGAAAAGGTCTTTCCTCCCTTTTCCGGACTTCTTTCCTTCTTGTTTCCTTTAAACATCTACACATCAACACACGGCATTTTCCTTGCCATCTGAATGGTTTCTGCTGATACAGTATCGATTTGACAACATCTGCTATTGTCATCCCGCTTTGGTTTGGGCCTGACCTTGGCCATAAATTTGGCAGGCCAGATTTTATACTGCACCAGCTTGAGTCAACTTTGAGAAATACATAACGCACATACAACGGTGCGTTATGTGCGGCAACCCCATAGTTGCCGTTATGGGGCCCTCAGAAAAATAAGTGTGGGACCATCACAGGCGGGAAATGCCCCTTATAGAACTGGCCCCTCATAGCCCGGTAAGACCTCTCAGAGGCCGGTAACGGGTCTTTGGAGATGACCGAGGTGCCCTTAAAAGCCGCAAGAGGCCCTCAGAAGCCGGCGTGGGGCTCTTATGGAGATCTTAGTGTGGCTATTTAGGGCCCATGAGGTGCTCTGACCAGCCCCTTATGGGGCCCTTCTGAGTAGAAATATGGCCATCGTTAACCCTCAGCGGTCAAATGGCGCCGCAGGGCCCCTCGGAGCCGAGGGTCCCTTTTTATCCCGATGGGGGGGGGCACGTGTCCTCTTAGACCCCCTAGCTACGCCACTGTTTCAGATGCATCATGTCAGGCATTTTAGGCTCGCCCCCCCAACTTGAAAATCGTTCCCGGGCCCCTGCTATTAGAGGTCACTGGTCATACCAGGTCAGGTCACAGGTCAGGTCACCAAAGGTCACCAAGGGTCACCACATGAACCCAACTTGACTGAGGTTGTGCGATGCATGTTTTATGGCCAGTTTTTCATTTCCAACTTAATGGTATTGGTTATAAGACCATCAGGTACGATTTACGTCACTTTCTGGTAAAGGTCAGGTCAAGGTCAGGTCAAAAAGGGTCAAATTTCAAAGTTGATATTTTGGCATAAAATGGGTATTTATTCAATGCAGCTCGTCACGGGTAGTCTAATGGTGGTCTTTGTTTTGCGCTACGAGGTCTAGAATTGCTTAAAATTGAGTTTGAAAATTTGACGTCATCAATTTTGAACAGTTTTTTCGCTATAACTTGGCCAAAAAAGAGGTATTGATCTCAAATTTGGTATGTAGATAGAAGGCGGTAGGGACTATCACATATATTCCGGTTTTTCGAAATTCAAAAAACTTTGGATTTTTCGGCTATTATTTTCAAAAAATCTATTTTTTATTCTTGGGGGACAAAATCCAAAAATTTAAAAATCCGAGATAGCAGTTTTGTAGCCCTCTTTATTCCACACCTTTTTGTGTTTGGAACATTTTTCTGTATCTCTAAAGCTGTAGGCCTGACAGCTCTTCCCGCGAAACCTTTTTTTGTCGAAAATGGCAAAAATGACGTCACTCTGACGTCATTAGCGGCCAACCTATCATAGCCTTTGGAAAAAATTTTTGGTCACCATGTGCGCTAGCTACTCCCGGGAGGGTACTGAAAGTTTGGTGACGATCGGCGAAGCGGTTCTCGAGATATATCGAAAAAACTAAAGGGGGGGGGGGCAAAAAATGCCCCCCCCCCACCGCCTGGAAGGTTAAGAGGACGCCGTGCCGGCCCCACTGACCTCTGGGCTCTGAGAACCCCTTGCTGACATATGAAGGGCTCACGCTTACCTCTGCTAGTCTGCAAAATACGCGGCGTCGTTGCTATGATAGGAAATGCTCGGGGAGATGCCCTGAAAGCGACGTCATATTAGCCGGCTGGACAACTAAGGAATTTGGCTTTTGCTCCGCCCTCGTGGCTCTCCGGTAGCATTCGCTGTCTGTCACTCCGAGCCATTAGGTAGCCCATACCATACATACTAGGTCAACAACGGTCACGACCCCAAATTTGTACAGCAGACTGTGGCCCACCCAGTGGAGCTAAGGGGCACGTGCGTGAAGATAGCGACGGATTCAGCGTCGGATTCAGAATTCGCTGAAAACACGTTATCAGGTCAAGTAGGACACGCTGACTCCAAAAATAGACATAAAACACATTTCTAAGATCATCTTCAGGGTCAAATTTGAGGTCAAAGGACGGGGTACCCGATAACGTCCCGAATTATGGGGGTAAGAGGACCAAAAGTGGTAGTACATGATAGCTGGTCACCGTGGGCAGCCTCCGTGACCATGACCTTGACCTTTGACCTTCAAGGTCAAATTTGAGGTCAAATGACGGGGTACCGGATAACATCCCGAATTATGGGCTCAAGAAGACCAAAAGTGGTCATACATGATCGCTCGTCACCGTGGGCAGCCTCCGTGAACCTGACCTTGACCTTGACCCTTGACCGTCAAATTTGAGTTCAAACGACGGGGTTGACCTACCTTGAGACGATACCCCTTCCTTGTCTCAAATCGTTCCGCCGCCTGTGGTAACGGAACCTACCCACCCAGTGTAATTGAAAATGTTGCCTCGACTCTCTAATCCTTATCCTAATTACATCCATTTCCCAGCATTCCAAAATGGCAGACCCGGACCTCTTCGAGTTTTTAAAACTGATTGAGACCGAGGAGGCTGCCCTGAACTACTGCCAGAGGCAAGGTTTGATCCCGGCACCCAACGCAGCCGCTGCAGTGCGAAGGGGACCGGCTCGTGACATAGGAGAGCAGTGGGGCATCTGCGGTGCAGTGGGTTTTAACCCAGCTGTGCCTCAATGCACTGGCCGGGTAACCACCATCACGCGCTACTTTAAGAATGGCCCCAAACCGCAATTTCGCTGCGTGAAATGTCGCAAACAGCTGTCACAGCTGCATGGTATGAGGCCTGTGCGGCCTGGTGCCCATGTCGGCACATGGTTTGCCTCGCTCGACGCGCAGGGCAAGCCAAACACCAAAGTGGGGAAAAGGGAGGTACTATGGATCGTGTACTCCATGTCAAAAGGCATGTCCGTGTCCCAATCAATCAAACTGACTGCTCCAACCCTAACGATCGTCAAAGACACCGTCATTGACTGGCGGAACTATGTGCGAGAGCTGTTTGAAGCTGCCCTTCGCCGCTCGCCACCCATGGGCGGCCCAGGAGAAGAGGTTGAGATAGATGAAAGCCTCTTCAGGGGCAAACGTAAATATAACAGGGGCCGTCTGCTCCTGGGTGACCAAGCAGCCGGTGGTGCAGCCGGCGGTGTGCCTGGTGCGGTGGCCGGCGGTGCGGGAGCCGGCGGTGCGGTGGTCGGCGGTGCGGGAGCCGGCGTGGCCGGCGGTGCGGGAGCCGGCGGTGCGGTGGCCGGCGTGGCCGGCGGTGCGGGAGCCGGTGGTGCGGGAGCCGGCGGTGCGGGAGCCGGCGGTGCGGGAGCCGGCGGTGCGGTGGCCGGCGTGGCCGGCGGTGCGGGAGCCGGCGGTGCGGGAGCCGGTGGTGCGGGAGCCGGCGGTGCGGGAGCCGGCGGTGCGGGAGCCGGCGGTGCGGTGGCCGGCGTGGCCGGTGGTGCGGGAGCCGGCGGTGCGGGAGCCGGCGGTGCGGTGGCCGGCGTGGCCGGCGGTGCGGTGGCCGGCGGTGGATTGCGCGGCGGTGGTAACCGCAACTATGGGAGGAGGATCGCTGGACCTTGGGTCTTTGGGATGTTGTGGCGCAGGACAGGAGAGCTGCGCCTCATCCGCGTGGACCGGCGGGACGCGGCCACTCTGCTGCCGCTGATTCAGCGTCACATCGCTCCTGGGACCACCGTGTATTCGGACGAATGGGCTGCTTACCATGGCATAGACGCGATCCCAGGCGGCAACTACATCCACCGGACAGTGAACCACCAGGTAGGCTACTGGACGGGTTAAAATTTGCAGCATCGATACGATATGAGAAATGCCTAGATACAACTAGTGAAATGTTTTTGCGCTACCTTAACCCGCGCCCTGCTGGGGTGGTGTTTGAACATGTTGTGAAAATTTCAGACCAAGGTCATTCAAGGTCAGGTCACCAGGTCACTTGAAGTGACCTCACCTCATAAAAAGTTTCAATGTCTGTCATAGCTACACCGAGTGACCGATCGCTTTGAAACTTTCAGCGATTGCTAAGAGCAATAGCATGTACAAAATGTATATCTCAGAATTTTGATATCGATGACCTAAGGTTAGGTCAATTTTGCGACCTCCCCATTATAAGTCAATGGGAGAAAATTGAAATGCGCCTCCTTTGGACGAAAGACATTATAAACACTCCCAAACACTGAATTACAAGTGGTTTAGACACACTGAACATGAAAATGGTGTCCGTGACCCCTGTTTATGCCCTGAGGTCATCTTAGGTCACGAATGGTATCTAACAGTTTTTCGCAAATAACTTTTGATAGAGGCATGCTAGAGCGATGAAAACGCCTTAGATGTGTTCAGCTCGACGATACGGATCGACTGATATGCAACATGACCCTTTCCGGTCAGGTCATGACCTTTACCTGAGGTCAAATTTTCAAGTTGATCTTTCAAGGTCAAGTTATAGTTCATTCGATGCGTCTTGACGAGAGGAACACGATGCCGGTAAAAGTAAGCTCGTACAAGGCTTGGGTCAAAAGTTATTGCAGAAAAACTGTTTCCGAAAAAATCGGCTATTTTTGCAGTTTTTGCCCCCTGCAGGCAAAACCGTTGACGTTAGGTCAAATCTGAGAGAATTATTCAGAAAGGACGTTAATAGGGCTATCGAATGCGCTTTTTCGCGGCGCTGTAGCTCTATTGGTTCTCGAGTTATGCGTTGGGTTCTTGGAAATTGTCGACATTCGACCTGAAAATCGGCGAAATTTTGCCTTCAATGACCTCTGGTGACCTGACCTTTGACCCGACCAAAAAATTGACCGAAGTGATTTCCTCATTATTTTTGACGCTCTTTCGAACGCCGCCTTCCGCGTATCGCTACGTGGCCCAGGAGCCGAGTTAGAAGGGGGGGGGGTGTTCAAACACCCCCCCCCCCAGCAGGGCGTGGAAATCCAGGACCCCCAGCCGGGCGCGGGTTAATGAAACTTGATGATGAAAAGCCACATGTGTTGCATGTTTGCAGAACAACTTCATCAACCCAGCAGACCAGGCGGTGCACACGCAGGGCATCGAAGGAGCATGGTCTCGTGCCAAGCTGGACCTCATGCGACTGAAGAGAGGAACATCGCCTGAGCTGCTTCCCGGCCACCTGGCACGCCTCTGGTGGCAGTCAAGAGATCGCGACGACGTGCGCCCGTTCCTGAACATCCTGCAGCTGATCAGGGAGGCATACCCCCAGTGAACGTTCAAACCTTCGACCGTTCCAACCTGCGACACAAGCCCGAGACTGTAGTGACTAAGCGTGTATACGTGTTTGTGTGCAAGTGTGCTGTGTGTGTGTGTGTGTGTGTGTGGTGTGTGTGTTGTGTGTGTTGTGCGTGCGTGCGTGCGTGCGTGCGTGCGTGCGTGCGTGCGTGCGTGCGTGCGTGCGTGCGTGCGTGCGTGCGTGCGTGCGTATGTGTTTTCGTGACAGAAATGTTCTTTGATATGTTCTAAGTGAGCGGCAGCCTCGATGCCTTTTCTACTGCTCCTGATGTCGTTCTGCTGGACTGTGGACTGTGTGGCAGATTCCGTGGTCCTGAGTATAACCTGAAGACGGCCACCTCCTGATCTGGAGAATAAAATGCATCTCCTACCGCTCAGTACTACTCATCAGTACTACCGCTGTATATTATCTGGGCAAGCCACGATATGTTAAAAAAGCTATGAGAGAAAAATGTTTCCGGATATATTTGAGGCAATATAAAGGCACGTATATCTACAGTATTTGCACTTCAAGTCCGTTCTTTCAAAATTTGTCAGACTTTAACCCGCGCCCTGATGGGGGGGGGCCATTTTGGCCCCCCCCTGTGGTTTTTCTTAAATAGCGAGAAAACGGCGGCGCGCAGCGCCGCCAAATTTTGGGTACCTTACCGGACATCAATTTGACACCTTCACACAAAATTTCAAGTCACAGGTCACCTCAGGTCAGAAGTTATTGAGGTCAAACTGAGGTCATGTTCGAGTAAAAATGAGCAAAAAACATGACATCTTGAAACGCTCACCAATTTTACAGTTAACAAGCAATTTTAAAGTTCTTTATGTGGTTGTGTAGACAAAACACGGCGCTACAAAACTGCTATCTCGGATTTTCGAAATTTTGGGATTTTGACCCCCAAAAATCAAAAAAATTGATTTTTTTAGAAAAACTCAAAAAATTTCCAAAATTTTTTTTCGAATTTCGAAAAAACCGGAATATATGTGATAGTCCCTGCGCTCTTCGATATACATACCAAATTTTAGATCGATACCTCTTTTTTTGGCCAAGTTATAGCGAAAAAACTGTTAAAAATTGATGACGTCAAATTTTTGAACTCAATTTTTAGCAATTCTAGACCTCGTAGCGCAAAACGGAGAACACCATTGAACTCCCCGTGACGAGCTGCATCGAATCGATACCCATTTTATGCAAAAATATCAACTTTGAAATTTGACCTAATTTGACCTGACCTTGACCTGACCTTGACCTGACCTTGACCAAAACGTGACCTAAGCTGGCCCTAAAGTCTGTCTGACCCACATAATCGCAATTGTCATGTAAAATGGACCATAAAACATGTATCACACGACACTTTCATATTGTGACCCCCCCAGTGACCTGACCTCTGTGACCTGACCTGGTATCAGTGACCTCAAATAGCAAAATATGTGTTTGAAGAACATTTCCCCATCGATGATTTTCATTGAAATGCATTTTACACGATTTTACAACGCATTTCTTGTATTGCCTGTAAACGGTGAAAATTCGACCTTTGACCTGACCTGTGACGTCATCGGTTTGACCGAGGTCAATGAAATTGGGTCACAAGGTAGTTCCCCGTTGGGGCTATCCAACACCGTTTACCGCTTGTCGCTATGTTGCGTGGTTCTCGAGATCTGAGGGGGGGGCCAAAATGGCCCCCCCCCATCAGACCGCGTTGCTCGGCAGACCCCATCTGGGCGCGGGTTAATAGAGTAGGAACCTCAATTTTTCAAAGTTATTGTTTTCATGATACTCATATTTTACTCGAATCTATGACAGCTCTGTGGTTTACTAGGAACGGTGCTCCTAGTTCGTCATTTTTATTTTTTTACGTCCTAGGGTATGAATTTAGAAGGCACTTATTGGCACACTCGAGACAAAAAAGGCAGGTATGCAATGGTGTAACTAATAACTATACATATAACCCTCGCCGTCCGGGGGGGGGGGGGTTGCCAACCCCTCCCCATGGGCCAGGTAAAGAAAAGCAACTAGTTGTTTACTACAAAGTTCAGGTAAAGAAAAGCAACTAGACCAATTAAAATCAAATACATACCAATTAAATCATCTACATACCAATTAAGCTCTCCCGCGATGATAAAGTGGGCTATTGAAACAGCGTCCCAATATTGAAACCAGAGCTGCGAAATCAGGGTAAGAGTCAGAGTCGGAGTTGAAATCGACCGGAATCGACCTTTCTAACCAGAGCCAGAATCCGGGCCGATTTGGAGGCATGGGTGAAACTTTGACATCACCATTGGGGTCCCAAACGTCCAAGGGGGCCTCCATTTAGTGGGGGCCTCCAAGCAATTAGGGGCCTCCAATTGCGGAAGTGGTAATTTACGAACCACGCCAGGGCCTCCTCTAAGAAATTTTCATTGGGGGACCAGAGGCTCAGAAGCCAAACCTAGGGTACCAGCATATCAAGTTTTCTCATCGGATTTAGGCCACTTATTTTTCGTCACAGCTCTGATGCCATGATTTTTTTTTATATTGATAAAGAAATGGTAGGTCACCTGACCCTACTGGTGGATCCAGGCCAGCAGGGTGAAATTGCATGTAAATATCCCGCGCAGCGTCCGAAATCGACGAAAATTTCTGGCTTTTCACTTTTGACAATAAAACACAATGCCTTTATTATAGAAAAAAAGAATTTAACGGCACAGCATTGCGCAAGGAATCTAGCCGACCCCAGAAAGTGTGAGGGTTAACCTTCGCCCGCACCTGGGGGGAGGGTTGCCACCCCCAAGTTAGTTTTTCTGCTCTACACTTAACATTTTGAAGCTAGAAACCTGATTTTTTGTATAGCTGCTTTTCTATCTTTTCTCAGCGTCCATTGAAAATTTCAAGTTCTTTTGGGTTTGGAGATATGACCTTGTTCTTCAGGTTATGTCATGTCCTAAATGACGAATACCCAATATCTTGCGTTGGCTATGGGCCTTGTGAGCTTTTGACACCCTGATTTCGGCTTTTTTGCCAGTCTTACCTCCCACCTATCATTGAACCTGTTGTTCTGCGATGTACAGATGTCAGGGTCAGGGTCAAGGTCAGAGTCAGGGCCTAGGTCATCTAAAATTATTGCGCTTTAGGCAAGCTGAATTTACTTTTCGTGAAGTTTCTTTGACTGCATGTTTAGGAAAAGCTTCTCAGTTCATGATCTAATGTACATAATAGGGACACACAAACCGATCTGTGCACACATCAGTACATACACAGACATACACAGACATACAAACACATATCATTGACTTCGACCTAACTTCCCGTGAAATGACCACAGCCAGCAAATTAGTCGGATAGTGTGACAAAGAGCTGTTCTAGCTGGCTTGGCACTAATACGGCAGCGTCATCGGTATATGACGGGTTGGCCCGCTGCTTGTGTAGGTATCTTATTCGACATCACCACATTTTTTACAAGATTTTAAGCCTCGCGGTCAAGAGCAACAGATTCTTTGGGAAGAGACGAATCCAATGATACAAATTTTATCTCATCAGGCCAGTCATTGACCTTCCAGGTCAGGTCAAACGTCGCAGCCCGGATTCAGCCCAGATTCGGGACACCTCCGATCAAGCTGAAACGCGCACACAATGTAGGTCCTGACATTCCCAATCCACAGTCCAATTCATTCGGCGGCACTCCCAGCCGTTTGACCTACAGAGGTCAGCAAAGGTCACGTTGCCCAAATTTGCACAGCAGATTGTGGCCCACCCAGTAGAGCTAGAGCGCTAAAAATGGCACCAATCGACTCGCCAGCATCTAATCTTACTTTCCCAACACTCATTTGACCTCTCAAGGTCATGCGATGACTTAAGGTCATTTGTTGGCCAGGTCTAAAATACACTTGCACAGCAGTTTTCGAGTAGAGGGATTGACCGAATTCCAAATCAACGCACATCATCGGGTAGCCCATAGGCCGTAGTAACTTTCCTTCGAAACCGCTTCTCGATATGTGACCCCGTTTGACCTCGGCAGGTCAAAATGTACAAATAAACGACACTCCATACGTCGCAGCCCGGATTCAGCCCAGATTCGGGACATCTCTGATCAAGCTGAAACTCGCGTACGATGTAGGTCCTGACATGCCCAATCCACAGTCCGAGTCATTCGGCGGCACTCCCAGCCGTTTGACCTACAGAGGTCAGCAAAGGTCACGTGGCCCAAATTTGCACAGCAGATTGTGGCCCACCCCACCCAGTAGAGCTAGAGCGCTAAAAATGGCACCAATCGACTCGCCAGCATCAAATCTTACTTTCCCAACACTCATTTGACCTCTCAAGGTTATGCGATGACCTAAGGTCATTTGTGGGCCAGGTCTAAAATACACTTGCACAGCAGTTTTCGAGTAGAGGAGAGGTCAAATGAGTGTTGGGGAAGTAAGATTAGATGCTGCCGAGTAGATTGGTGCCATATTTAGCGCTCTAGCTCTACTGGGTGGCCCACAATCTGCTGTGCAGATTTGGGCAACGTGACCTTTGCTGACCTCTGTAGGTCAAACGGCTGGGAGTGCCGCCGAATGACTCGGACTGTGGATTAGGCATGTCTGGACCTACACCGTGTGCGAGTTTCAGCTTGATCGGAGATGTCCCGAATCTGGGCTGAATCCGGGCTGCGACGTATGGAGTGTCGTGTATTTGTACATTTTGACCTGCCGAGGTCAAACGGGGTCACATATCGAGAAGCGGTTTCTAAGGAAAGTTACTACGGCTTATGAGCTACCCGATGATGTGCTTTGATTTGAAATTCGGTCAATCCCTCTACTCGAAAACTGCTGTGCAATGTATTTTCGACATAGCCCACAAATGACCTTAGGTCATCGCATGACCTTGAGAGGTCAAATGAGTGTTGAGAAAGTAAGATAAGATGCTGACGAGTCGATTGGTGCCATTTTTAGCGCTCTAGCTCTACTGGGTGGGTCACAATCTGCTGTGCAAATTTGGGCTACGTGACATTTGCTGACCTCTGTAGGTCAAACGGCTGGAGGTGCCGCCGAATGACTCAGACTGTGGATTGGGCATGTCAGGACCTACATCGTGTGCGAGTTTCAGCTTGATCGGAGATGTCCCGAATCTGGGCTGAATCCGGGCTGCGACGTATGGA